TCATTTTAAATATATTCTTATGCTCAGTCAAAGAAGCCAGAGGACACAAAGGTGACATTTTGAGTGGTTCTATTTATAGGAAAATTGGGTCCACGGAACTGTCAGAGGCAGGAAGCGGGGGCAGGGTGGAGAGGGCCAGGGGTAAGGCTTAATGGGAATGTTCCAGAACCAGACGGAGAGGGTGGGGGGCATGGGACTGTCACCTCATTGTGCAGTGAGAACAGCTGTTGCTTGTGATTGGAAAATATAACACACGCACACACACAGTTATGTTCATGGGCGTTACTCTGGTCTGGCGCATCATAAGAGGGACCCGGCATCATTGGCCCAGTAGTGAGCGTCGGGGTTAGAGCTGAGAGCAGCCTGATGAGGACAGCGACTGCCCCGCACAGCCCTGACCCTTGGCTCCGCGGGAGAAGGCAGACGGCGCTTGCCTTGCCTGAGGCTGACCCGGCTCCATCCTTGGGCCCCACATGGTCTCCTGAGCCCCTCCAGGAGGGATCCCTGAGCACAACCCGGCATGGGCCCAAAAAATAACAAAATACCCCCCCACCTGTTGTCCCTGCCACCAGGAAGCCACCTCTGAGCCCCCGCCCAGAGCAGGGGAGGGGCCAGGGGGCGCACTGGGCAGGTGGGTGTCCCGGGCACCTGCCTGCCCAGTGCCCCTCTGAGCCCTGCGTGCCAACGCCCACCCTGTGTGGCTGGGGACCCATCAGCCGCTGCACCCCCTCACTCCCAGGCAGATTCCCAACTCCCAGGCAGCCCGGTCACAGCCCACTGGGAAGCGTGGGGGGCACAGTTGTGGGAGTCCCCACCCGGAGCTGCTCTGTGCTGCCACCATGGGTATGGACGGACCTCCCAGTGGGCCAGATACACAACACGACAGTGTGAGTGATGCCCACCAAGGGACACAGGACATGCCACCACACATCTGTGAGACAGCCATGTGTGTCCATCAATACCCAGCCACAGCCGAGGCCAGTCTGGTCAACACACACACACACACACACACACACACACACACAGACACACACAGACACAGACACACACATAAAAGGACACACACACAGACACACACAGACATAGACATATACAGACACACACAGACATACACAGACAGACACATACATACACAGACACACACAGACACAGACACATACACATACACACAGAGACACACACAGACACACACGCTTACATATACATAGACACACACAGACACACACACACACACGAGCCCAGGACAACTGGTCGGCCAGACTCTCCCCTCTCTTGGCCACACGCTCCCACTTGCAGCTGGCGGGCAGGATGGCTCGTGGTGGGATCTGCACTGCCAGGGTTAGACAGGCATGCCGGGTGGGCAGAGTCCCCGTGCTGAGCCCTGCTTTGTGTAACTGGGCAATGCTCCCTCCCTGCATGTGGGCCAGGCGGGAGGAAGGCACCTCCCCTGGGCCTCCTGACGCACCTTCTCATCCCTCCTCTCCGGAAGCAGCAGCAGCAGCGGCAGAACAAATGCCCCCCCACCTTCTACCAATTCCGCCCGCACCCTTTCAGGACCCATCAGGCGAGGCGCTGCTTGGGCCCCTCTGAGCTCGGTTCTCTGCTCCTGCACCCCCTCCCGGTCACGGCATGGAGAGTCCCTTAGATGGAAGCCCGAGGGCCCTGGTGAGCACAGGCCAGGCAGTCCCATGGGCGCTGGTCGAGCAGGCAGCAGGGAGGGGGCTGTGGGGGCCCAGTGCTGGCTGCTCCTGGCCCTCCCACCCTCTTCTCTGTTCCTTTTCCAGAGAAGTTCAGGGCCCTGGGACTTTCTCTGGATTCTCCAGTGCAGCCTCGTCCCCTTGCCACGCGAGCCACTTGGTACCTTTACCGGCTCTAACCCTGCCCTAAGCTTCCTCCTCCCGCCCAGCGCGGAACCGCCCTCTCTACCATGGGGAGAATGTGCTGAGGGTCCGTGGCAGGGCTTAACTTTGTCGGATCAGAATGGCCTCACTGACACCACCCACAAATATAATCTGCAAACTCCTTCCCGGCTTCTGCTCCTTGGAGCTGCAGCATTAAGGGAGGGGATCCTTGAAAACAGCAGCTGCCCCAAGATTGCGTCAGGAGAACCCCGCGAGGCCAAAGAAGGCTCACAATGACTCTACGTGTGCTTCGATTCAAGTTGCCACCAGACACTCAGCCAACGAGGTTAGTTATGGGGGGTCTTGGTGATGGCTTCAGTAAGCAGCCTGGACGCGAACCCATGACATTTCACACGCCCAGCGAGACAGCAGGAAGACCCTGGGCTTTTCCTGTCCTTTGTCTTTCACCGTGAGGTTGACTGGCTAGGGACGTGCCTCGGGTGACAGGAACGCTGCCACAGCGCCAGGCTTCACCTCATCCTAGCTAAGTCCCAGCACCCGAGTTCCATGTCGCATAGAGCAGGCTGGGGGAGGAGAGTACCGCGAAGGGTCTTCTCACGGGTGATGCACGAACATGATTTGTGAAGAATGTTTTCCCTTCCTTGGTCTCTGGAGGAGGAAACGATGCTGGCGGAGATGTCTCAGAGCAGGAGCAAACGGGGAGGCTCACTCAGGGCCTCCTTGTGTGGTTCTCGATGTGACGGGACAGAGAGTAGGAGGAGTTGGTGGCCCAGTGGCACCCAGCCCCTTCCCAGTCACTGGTCAGGGTGCTCGAGCGGGCTCCGGGGTCCCACATGGCCTCATCACCTCCAGCTCTGACCGAGGACCCCAAGGCACTCAAGCATCTAAAAGTCAGTGGCCACTGTGCTGAGGACTGCTGACCACTGCTGGAGGTGACCACGGGGGCCCCTTCCTGTCTGAAATGCGTTTCTGGGCATGTAATAATGTTTCTGGAAGAACTTTAAACCAGCAACACGTCAGTTAGACCAGGCGGTGCTGTGGTGAATACCAGGCTATGGGGATAGATTGGCAAAGACCTTCCTCGCTCGGACACCCAGACCTTGGAGCCTCATCCCAGGGTGACTGAGACGTCGGGATCTCGGGAGCTTGGGCCCCCCCCAACCTACCAGGAGCCCAGAGAAGCTTCCCAGGTGATTTCTCAGACAAGAGTTCTCGCGCTGAAACCAAGACGCCAGTTCGAAGAGATTCCACGACAAGATCCATCACTGTGATGGATGTGCGGGGCCGCGTGCTTGTCACTGCATCATCCTCTAATGCCAGCTGCTAATTCTGATTGATCGCGTTGGCTGCTGCCATGATTACTTTTGTCTCCGGAAACAAACCGGAATGTTCTCAGGGACGATCCCCAGGTAGCTGGGGTGCGGTGCACACACCAAACCCCAAGCTTAGCCCCCGCTCCCAGAGGAGCCCTGAGCACTGAGCTAGCAGAGTCCACGTGGGACCAAGTATGGCCAGGAGATGGCTCAGGCCCTTGGGTGTTGCTGGGAAGGAGCTCCCAGTAATCACAGGCTTACAGGGGGCCTTGAAGAGAGGAACAGAATGGGAGACATCCATGCCCTTGGGCACGCAGTCAGCCTGGAGGGACATCGTGCCCTCGGGGCATGCACAGCGAGCCTGAGGGACAATGTGCCCTCAGGGCACACACAGTCAGCCTGCAGGGGCATTCTGCCCGCGGGGCATGCGCAGTGAGTCTGAAGGGACATCATGCCTCAGGGCACGTGCAGTCAGGCCTCAGGGATGGGACATCTGTGCCCTCAATATTCCACCATGTTTGGTCTCAGCGTTATAAAAACTGGATTCGGTTCAATGTCAGAACACGTCACCTTTGAGGGAATAAAGGGGGACATGGGAGGAAATGAAACTCCCGGCCACAGCAGGGGCAGCTGTGACCGACCCTGGAATCCAGCAGAGACTGCTGTCGCCCTCCCTCAGTTTTCCTCTGGGACCGGGAGACACTCAGTTGGGGTGCAGGGGCTATCCCCGCGCTGACACGTGCTAATACCCACCTGGAGCCCAGTGAGAACTGGCGCCCAGCCTGGACCTTGCGGGAGCCCCGGTGCCCACTGGGAGCGGTGGACGGTGGACCCCGTGGTCAGCGGAGAGCGCCGGGAGCACGGTGACCACAGCGAGTCCTCTCCCCACAGGCAGGCTGGAGCTGGAGGACATTGCCCAGAGCAGATAGCCGAGACCGGGTCAGGGGCTGCAGGGGAGGACACGGTGGGGTGGACGGGGTCAGGGGCTGCGGGGGAGGACATGGTGGGGTGGATGGGGTCCGGGGCTGTAGGGGACAGCACGGTGTCAGTGAACGTTAAACTTTCAGTCTGAGCCTGCAGATCCGCCGAGGTAGCTTTCCCTCAGGGCCGCTTTCTGCGGGGGACACACGTTTCTCTGCTCACCTCTTGCTAGGCTCGGCCCTGCCTTGGGCCAGTAGACAAAGGGCTGGGCCAGAACTGAGGCCAGCCCAGCTGCTGGGCATGGTGCGCGGGTCCCTCAAAGGCGACTCAGAGGCCAGCAGAGAGGGACAGAGCCCTGGTCTTCTTCCCGCTGCCTGGCCTCTACAGGGGTCGTGCAGGAGCACCCTGGGCAGCTGAGACCTGCCTCCAGCCGTGTGCTGGGCAGCCTGCGGCTCTGCCCATGCCTCAGCCTACGCTTGTCCATCCGCCGATGCCACGCGGACCCTGCAGCAACTGCACATGTGGGAGGAGGATTGAAGGATGGACAGACAGACGGATGGACGGGTAGGGAGCAGATAGGAATGCAGGATTCCTTAGGGACTCTCCCCTCCTCCCCCTCTCCCTCTCCTTCTCCCTCTCCCTCTCTCTCACTCCCTCTCTCCCTCTCTCTCTGTCCCTCTCTCCCTCTCCCTCTGACTCAGAGGATGCTCTCAGCTCTGTGCTCAAGGGTCCCTGCAGTGCTGGGGTTACACCCGGGCTTCCCGTCCGCCAAGCTTGAGTCCAGCCTGTTGCTCCCCTCTCATCCCCGCGGGGCGTCCCAGGGGCCCTTAAGCCCTGCTGCTACTCTTAAGTGCCCAATAATTCAGGGAATTTCAGCCTGTACCAATGTTTAGTACCGGAGACTTTAAAAGAAATTCGATTCTTCTGTCAATATGAAGTGGCCAAGCATTCCTAAAGGCTAATCGACAGTTGTAGAAAAGCCCTTTATTCTGCAGAGAGCTAATGCGGGCCCACGGCCCACCTGCGTCCACCCTGCCCCTCCCGTGAGCCTGAGCAGGGAGAGAATGCGCTGACCGCCAGTGGTGACCCACAGCTGGGCCCAAGGAATTCACGGCTGGGGCCAGAGGAAAACTCAAAGGGCCAGGGGGCTTGATCCCAACATTGGCAGCCCCGGGCCCCCGCCACCAGCAGGAGGGACCCAGCGCAGGGCTAGGCAGCCTGAGCACCCAGGGGACCAGGGATCAAAGGGGGGGAAGTGGCAGTTCCGAGTCTTCGATTCTTGAGTTGCAATGAACCACGCCCTCAGTCGCTGTTGACAGGGTCTGCTCTCGGCCCCCTGATGCTTATTTCCCTTGGGGGGAAACATCACCATCTTTCCTCTGAATTGTCACCTTGGATTCATTGGCCAAGTGTTTTGTTAATTAATTTAAATAACGACCCCGTTCATTCTCTGGAATTCAATATCGGAGGCACTTTAATTACCCCATATTCACCATATAATTGTTGTAGGTTTTATGGCAATTTTTTTTCCAAAAAAAGCAAGAAATAGTGGGCGTTAGCCATTGTGCAAAGCATTTTTTTTTCATTGTGCAGGTGTTACTTAGACATTGTTTGTAATTAAACTGTTGTCGGTACATCATTGCAGCGCAGGAGTACTCAGGAGTAGGGGGATAGGAGTACTCGGGAACATGGAGGCAGGAGTACCCGGGAGCGTGGGATGCAGGAGTACTCAGGAGTGTGGGGTGCAGGAGTACTCAGGAGTGTGGGGATGGGAGTACTAGGGAGTGTGGGTGCAGGAGTACTCAGGAGTGTGGGGACGGAGTACTTGGGAGTGTGGGATGCAGGAGTACTCGGGAGTGGGGGGCAGGAGTACTCGGGAGTATGTGCTCGGAGCCAGGCAATTGGTCTAGGGTGAGACTCAAGCAGCACCTGCTGGGGCCCGGGGTGACCGTTGCCCACAGCAGCGTGACCCGTGGGCCAGAGGCCAGCGGGTCCGTCCACGGCAGGCCCCGGGACGTTGGGGCGCGGCTGAGTGAGTTTGGTCCCTGGTGTCTGCACGGGTTCCAGCTGCCGGGAGGCCGCGGCCGTCCGGCACGTGGAGACTTTTCGAAAACCCTCCTTGAGGCGGTGCTGGTCTCACGGCTGTGCCCCGGCCCTCGCCCCCAACGTTGGATCCCCTACATGCTAGGTGCTGAAGGTCCTTTCGTGGCTTCTGCCCGCAGACTGGCCTCCGGGGCCTGGGACTCCCCCACCCGCCTGCGGAGAGCCCCGCCCAGGCCCCGCCCCCGCCCCCGCCCAGCCCCTGGCCCCGCCCCTGGCCCCCACCATGGCCCCGCCCCCAGTCCTGCCCCTGCCCCGCCCCTGGCCCCGCCCCTGGCCCCCCACCATGGCCCCGCCCCCAGTCCTGCCCCTGCCCCGCCCCTGCCCCGCCCTGGCCCCGCCCCCACCCAATCCCGCCCGGCCCCGCCCCTGCCCCTGCCCCACCCCCACCATG